CTCTGTCCCTCCCCCGCTCTCTCTCTCTCTCAAAAATAAATAAACATTAAAAAAAACTTTTTGGGGAGTTAAAAGTTATATGAGGATTTTCTATTGCATGAGGGGATCAGTGCCCCTAACCTCCTGTATTGTTCAAGGGTCAACTGGATATCCTTTTACAAAAAACTAGTAATCCAGCAAGTAAAATGTTCATCTGAGTTCTGTGAGCCTCTCTAGCAAATTAATCAGAGATGGGGTCATTGGAACCTCCAATCTAGTCTTGTGATTGGCATCTGAAGCAGGGTGAGGAAGATGGCAGTCTTATAGGAATGAAGTCTTAATCTGTGGAATGGGATGCTGTCTCCAGCTCAAGAGTGTCAGAATTCAGTTGACTTGTACGACACCCAGCTGTGTCCAATAATTATTGATGTGGGGAAAATCCCCTTCCTGCATTGGAATTGGGTTTAGAATCCTTTTTAAGGCTACCCTTCCCTCGAGTTTCTATTTTTTTTTAAAGATTTTATTTTTAAGTAATCTCTACACCCAATATGGGGATCGAACTCACAACCCTAAAATCAAGAGTCGCATGTTCCACCGACTGAGCCAGCCAGGCAACCCCACCTCCCCCGCCCCTGCCGCCTTGAGTTTCAGCTAAAGCCCTGTCCTTCCTCAAGGGCATTTGGCAGGGTGGGGATTTGGGTGCAGAGGGTGACGCAGGGGCTGGAGACCCAGCATGATGGTCTTTGAGGCACCTAGTCTTCATCCTGTCCCCACCACAGGCCCACCAGACCATGGCTTTCATCCCAATCCCCTTGGCTGCTCTCTCCCAAATGCCCTGAGCTTCCCCTACAGGCCTCACTGATCCTGGAGATGCCAGCTGGCTGCATCCCGCTCCAGCTCCCTGGACAGAACCTCTCCCTAAGTCTCCACTGGGGCTCTGACAAGGCTGTTTGGTAAGCCGGGTCTTTAGAGAAGGCCTGGGGCCCCCACTGCTTTGACCCGTGTGGAGGTACCCTCTGAGAAGCCCAAAGGAGGTAGAAGTAATGTTATAGGCCAGAGTGTGAAAGGCAGATTGGAAAGAAGGGACAGTATAATTCAGGACAATGAGCTAGAGACAGAACAGAGAAACTCTTAAGAGGGGAGAGAGAATTAGAGGAGGGGAAGCTCTGTAGTTCTCTCCATACCCTCCTGCTGACATAAGACATAGTAGGTCCTCACTAGATGGAAGCTATTATACACACATGTGCACATACCCACAAATACTTTTTATTTTATTTTATTTTTTTTTAATTTTTTTTTCAACGTTTTTATTTTATTTTTGGGACAGAGAGAGACAGAGCATGAACGGGGGAGGGGCAGAGAGAGAGGGAGACACAGAATCGGAAACAGGCTCCAGGCTCTGAGCCATCAGCCCAGAGCCTGACGCGGGGCTCGAACTCACGGACCGCAAGATCGTGACCTGGCTGAGGTCGGGCGCTTAACCGACTGCGCCACCCCGGCGCCCCCCTTTTTTTTTTTTTTTTTTAAAGAAGGTTTTTTTAACGTTTATTTTTTTTTTCAACGTTTATTTATTTTTGGGACAGAGAGAGACAGAGCATGAACGGGGGAGGGGCAGAGAGAGAGGGAGACACAGAATCGGAAACAGGCTCCAGGCTCTGTGCCATCAGCCCAGAGCCCGACGCGGGGCTTGAACTCACGGACCGCGAGATCGTGACCTGGCTGAAGTCGGACGCTTAACCGACTGTGCCACCCAGGCGCCCCACAAATACTTTTTAAGTTTTTACTTATTTATTTTGAGAGAGACAAGAGACAGAGTGCGGACAAGGGGCAAAGAGAGAGGGAGAGAGAGAATCCCAAGTAGGCTCCCTGCTGTCAGCTAAGAGCCTGATGTGGGGCTCAATCTCATGAATGTGAGATCATGACCTGAACTGAGATCAAGAGTTGGATGCTTGGGTCACCTGGGTGGCTCAGTAGGTTAAGCGTCTGACTCTTGGTTTGGGCTCAGGTCAC